TTTTTTTTTTTTTTTTTTTTTCATAAAAAGTGTCAGCAACTACGGTGTTGAGCACTTTACATTGGTTATTAAACGTGATTACTCTGGACCTGTTTTATTGCGATGGTTAATGTCAGCCATGAAGCCAGTCGCGGTTTTGATGTGCTCACGACCGAACGCATCCTTACATCACGGAGAGAGCACATGGCGCTGATACGGTTAATATCCCGGATTTTTGTAACTAAGGTTTATCGATGCTCGTATAAACACGTATTTGATATATACAGATGGCGTAGGATGCTGTGGTTACTAAGTTATTATCCCGGATAAGCTGTCCTGTCAAATTCAGGGCTTAAAACTATCACAGGAGATTAGACTATTTACTAAAAGGACAGAAAGATATGCCCAAAGCATCTTAGTAGAAACATATTAGAAGTGTATTTACCCCCCACAAATGCAATAAAGCGCATCCACCTCGTAGGCCGAGAGGTTGAAAATGCGACCTTTGCGGGTAGAAACAAGCAAACGGAAGAGGCGCTTTTATCTTCTGACTCAGGGGCAAGCAGGGAGCCCAGCCACTGGGGCCGGAGTGAGGCTGTCGGGGAGGCGAGGGGAAGGCACAGTGCAAATGGGGGGTTGAAATAAATCTCTTTGCCCCCCCCATCTCCCACCCCGCCCCAGGCCTTCCCCTGTCTACTGTCTGCCTCCATGGGCTGTGCTTTTACGCATGTAAGTTCTTGGGTTCATCCCTTCCCGCGCTCCTTCCCGCCTTCCTTCCGAGATCCGTCCGTCTGTTCCATGCTCCCGTGTCTGTGGTCCTATCCTGCCCGTCAATTTATTTTGTTCCTTGGATTCCACGTGACACGTTCAAGGACTCCTGCTTTGCCAGCCTGAAGGGAAAGAGAGTGGAGAAGTTGTTCTGAAGCTGAACGTGAACTGATGAGCGACGGGTGAAAATGCCAGGAAGACACTCATTTGGTCCACTTAGGAAACTGACAAGCGTGTTCGTCCCCAGTCCTGGGAGCTACTGCCTGGCAATGCTCGCAGTGTGTGACGCCGTGAAAAACCAGCCTAGAGCATGTGCCTTGCAGAACATCCAAAACTCGTGGGCATGTGATCCCCAGAAACAAAACAGAAAAACCGTAGCCAAAGGTGCCCCAAAAGAAACGTCGTGAGATTAGTTTTTTTTTAAAACATGTCTTTATTGATTTCAGAGAGAGGAAAAGAGAGGGAGAGAGAAACATCGGTGATGAGAGTCATTGATCGGCTGCCTCCTGCACGCCCCCTGCTGGGGACTCATGTGCCCCGACCGGAAATCGAACAGCGACCTCCAGGTTCAAAGGCTGACGCTCAACCACTGAGCCGCGCCAGCCGGGCAGATTAGTTTTAAGTCTCTTACTAAGCATCCGGAAAATAATCACCTTTATTCTGAAGTCTTGACTGTAGGAACTGAGACCCTGAGCAGTCACCCTGGCAGCTGCGACCCCGAGCCCCCCAGAGTGAATTCTGGTTTGTACATCTGCCTCCCCAGCCCGCCCCCCACAATTGAACAGAGCGTTTCTGGTTCAAGTAACCCAGGGTAAAATGTTACTTTCCTATTAGTCTAGCATTCCAATAAAAATTCTCTTCCAGCTGGTTGTTTTTTCATATTTCTCACGTTAGATTAAATCGTGATCTGGGGGAGGGGGGGAGCGCTGTTGTGCTCTTTTTATAAAGCGAAGGGTTCATGCTTTAAACGATGAACTGGGAGTGATAATTCTGCAAACTAGGAAAGATGATTTAAAGCTAAACTTTAAAAAATATATACAGGCTTAGCCGATACAGTTGGTATTTGGAACGCCTTATTTATATCAGGCTTACTTTGTTTAAACCCAGAAACATGAAGCTCACTAATGGGACTGCTCTTAAAAGTCCACCTAAGAATTGAGCATTAACCGAAGCAAACCGGAGAGCTAGGTTTAAAATCAGGTATTCTTACGTGGAAGCTTGCACTTAAAGGGATCCCCTAGGAGCCCCACATGCTAGGCGCTAACTGCAAACTGCTGAGACGTTTTTTCTGCTTGCTGTGCCCGCCAGGGAGCCGAGGTGGAAGTAGATGAAAATGGCACGTTGGACTTAAGCATGAAAAAGCATCGCGCCCCGGACAGAGCCGCGGCCCCGACGCCCTCCCACGCCTCGATGCCAGCGCCTTCCTCTTCCCCGTGCAAGGCCGGCAGCGTTTTGGTGAACGCGGCCTTCTACCGGGCCCTCTGCGACCGGGAGGGCTGGGACGCGCCCGTCAACTACAGCAGAGCTCCCGGGAAGGCGGAGGAGGGGCGACAGGTACCGTGTCTCTGTGGCGATAGGTTCAAGGTCGCGTGACCGGAGAGGCCCGTCGCCTTTTCTCCCCCCTAAATGATTTCTCACGCTCCTGTTCAGAGAATACACCGCTCCCTCCCTTATTTTAGATTTCGGTGGCGTGATCCCTTTACATCTCAGAGGAAGTTCATAAATAAACCCAGCTTTTCCGGTCACTTGCCCAAAAGAATATGTTCTTTGCTGTGACTGTTATCCCCCTGTGGCTGCAGGTGGGCGCTCTGCCCTAGAGGTGGCATTACCTGTCCCTTCAGAGGCAGCGCCTGGAAGGGCCAAGGCGCCGCTCGAGATCCAAGGGCCAGCTTACTACGGACCCTTTCCGAACCTGGAAGGGGAAGGGGACATCCCGGCAGGGGCCAATCAGGGTCGTGCCGGCTGCATGTCCTCGGCCCCGTGAAGGCGCGGGGTCAGCGAGACGGCGCCGTCCGCCTTCTGTGGCCTCGGCTTTCGTACCCGCACACAACCAACTCCGGGCGGGAGGCCCCAGGCGGCGGGTACACTGCCACCGGGCCGCCATGCGCTGCGTAGTTAAACCTGCGGCGATCCACCTGCGCTGAACCCGTAGGGACAGTTCTCCTTCGTCACTGTTCCCTAAACGACACAGCATCACAACTGTTTGCGNCGGCGATCCACCTGCGCCGAACCCGTAGGGACAGTTCTCCTTCATCACTGTTCCCTAAATGACACAGCATCACAACTCTTTGCGTTTTGCATTTGCCGGGCGCTAGGCCTCAGAAAGTGATCTAGAGGCGATTTCAAGCACGCAGGAGGATGCGTGTAGGTTATACGCAGATCCCTGCCGCTTTATAGCCATGTTATGCGGGGACTCGAGCGTCCGTGGGTGCTGGTATCTAAGGGGGTCCTAGGCCAATACCCCGGAGATCCCGAGGGATCCCTGTGTAGAGCCCTTGCTTGAGATGTGGGACCACAAATGCTGCGTGACTGGGTTGTCTCCACCCCAAAGCCGCGAAGGTGCCTTCACGCCTCTGGTTGTCTTGGAGGCACTGTCACTCCCGGGAGCCAGATGTCGTGACTGTCGGGGGTTCCTGCAGCCTTCATTCCACAGCCTGAGCCACCTGGCGTGGCCCCATTAGCATGACTTAGTGTCGTTCGGAGGAGTTCGCGGCCAGAGCCCTCTGTGGTTTAGACTCTATATCACCGCTAATGGGACCGTGGTTATTACAGTGAGCGACTCCCTTTTGCTTGTTTGTCAGGACAGTTATTGATACTTGCCAGGGCACATGTTTCAAGAACTGAAAGAGCTGTTCTCTTTGGCGGTGGGCACCACCTTTGTCAGGTTTTTGAAGTTCAGAGACGTTCGGGGAAGACTGATTTGATGTTAGCACAGGCTTTGACATCTCAGAGCATAAGTCAACGTAACAGTAGTGATCACAGATTGGGTAGCAGCTCCCCTCGGCCCTCCCT